GTCCGGCTCCACCGCCACCGGTTTTCTGCCGGCCTCCCTCGCGGCACTTCTCTCGAGGCCGCTGGATGCCGCCTCCCTTCAGGCGCCGATCGGGACACGGAGCGTCGGCTCCCTCTTCGCGCTCCCGCCGGCTGCTACTTCGCCCGGGCAGGCGCTTGTGGCCCACACCACCGCCGCCCCGTCAACCGCGGCTGTCGCGCCCTCGGCCACTGCGCCGCTGGTGGCGGAGGACGTCGCGCTGGCAGGCTTCGCGGCGTCAACCGCGGCCATCGCGCCCTCTGTCACCGCGCCGGCTGCCCCTCCGACTGTCTCCACGGTGTTCTCACCTCAGCCAGTCTCCTCGATGGGATCGCAGCCGCCGCCGCCGTTTCACTTCGGCCATCTCATCACCATCAAGTTGTCGTCGGACAATTACATCTTCTGGCGCGCGCAGGTTCTTCCGCTTCTTGGGAGTCACTACCTGCTTGGCTATGTCGATGGCTCTCTCCCTTGCCCTCCTGCGCTGGTTGACAGCGTGCATGGTCCGGTCTATAATCCGGCTCACCGTGTCTGGACAGGGCAGGATCAGGCGAACCTCTCCTCCATCCAGGGGTCGCTCTCTCCGGCCGTTGCTGGGCTTGTTGTCTTCGCCAAGACGTCCCACGAGGCATGGACTATTCTTGAGCGCTCGTTTGCGGCACAGTCGCAGGCTCGTGTATCTGGGCTCCGTCGCCAACTTGGGGAGTGTCAGAAGCTTGACTCCACCGCCACTGAGTTCTACAACAAAGTCAAGAGTCTCGCCGACACGCTGGCCTCCATTGGACAGCCCCTCACCGACTCCGAGTTCAACTCGTTTATTGTCAATGGTCTTGATGAGGAGTATGACGCCCTAGTCGAGATCATCAATGAGAGGGGCAACTCCACGCCCATGCCAGCACACGAGGTCTTTTCACGCCTCCTGCTTACTGAGCAACGAGTCGAGACGCGCCGATCCAGGGGCAACGACGCCCTCTCGGCAAACGCCGCCACCAAGGGTGGTCGCTCCTCTGCTTCATCCAGGGCTTCTTCGGGGCAGTCACCACCACCTGCCTCGGCCCCTCCTCCTACTGCGACTCTACCAGGGGCTGGCGGTCCACGTGTGTGCCAGCTTTGTGGTCGCGATGGGCACTGGGCCTCGAAGTGTCACAAGCGCTTCCAGCGGGGTTTTCTTGGTCTTGGCAATGACGGGAAGGATACACGCAACTTTGCTCGTCAGGTCGCCATGGCTGATCGTCCGCCGCCGCAGAAGCCACAGGGACACACTCAGTCCTACTCCATTGATCCCCACTGGTACATGGACTCTGGGGCGACAGAGCACCTGACCAGTGAGATGGGGAAGCTTCACACTCGTGAACCCTACCATGGCTCCGACAAGATCCACACCGCCAATGGAGCAGGTATGCACATCTCTCATATTGGTCAAGCATCACTTCTCACTAGACATGCCAATAGGAGTCTTCAACTTCGCAATGTTCTTCGAGTTCCATCTGTGACACGTAATCTTCTTTCAGTTCCTAAACTCACTCGTGATAATAATGTGCTTTGTGAATTTCATCCTTTTGATCTTTTTATTAAGGATCGGGGCACGAGGGACATTCTTCTTAGTGGGCGGCTCTGCCAAGGTCTCTATCATCTAGAGCATCCTGGCGTCGCTCGCGTCTTCAGTGGAGTTCGGGTATCTCCGTCACAGTGGCATGCTCGTCTTGGTCACCCGGCCACACCTATTGTCCGGCATGTTTTGCGTCGTCATGAGCTTCCTAGTGTGTCTAGTAATAAAGATGTAGCAGTGTGTGATGCTTGTCAGCAGGGGAAGAGTCATCAACTTCCTTTTTCGGAGTCCAGTCGTGAGGTGAAACATCCTTTAGAACTTGTGTTTTCAGATGTATGGGGTCCTGCTCAGACTTCTGTTAGTGGTCATAATTATTATATCAGTTTTGTTGATGCTTACAGCCGCTTTACCTGGCTTTATCTTATCAAACGTAAATCTGATGTGTTTGACATTTTTGTTCAGTTCCAAAAACATGTTGAACGCCTTCTCAAGCACAAAATTGTTCATGTTCAGTCGGACTGGGGTGGCGAGTATCGCAACATCAACTCCTTCTTTCAGTCGCTTGGGATCACTCACCGTTTAGCATGTCCACATACACATCAGCAGAATGGTTCAGTAGAACGTAAGCATCGTCACATTGTTGAAGCTGGTCTGACTCTTTTGGCCCATGCATCTGTTCCGTTTCGGTTTTGGAGTGATGCTTTCACCACTGCATGTTTTCTCATCAATCGTACTCCCACTCGTGTTTTGAATATGAAGACTCCCATTGAAGTTCTCCTTAATGAACAACCGGACTACACCTTTCTCAAGGTGTTTGGGTGTGCTTGCTGGCCCCATCTCCGTCCATATAACAAGCGTAAGCTCGAGTTTCGTTCCAAGAAGTGTGTTTTTCTTGGTTATAGCTCTCTTCATAAAGGATACAAATGTCTTCATGTTCCCACTAATCGTGTCTACATCTCTCGGGATGTTGTGTTTGATGAGCATGTTTTTCCCTTTGCCAAACTCCCTGTGTCCACTACCGAGCCACATGTCATGCATTCATCCTCTGTTGCTTCTGACCAATTTGATGATGTTGCATATTCTCCTCTATTGTTGCCTAACCATGGTGCAGGCACTGGTCGTGGGGCTCGTTTGGAGATTCTGGAAGCGCCATCTTCTTCTTCCTCGCCATCGCCTTCATCCTCGGCACCTTCTGTTGTGCATGAGGAGCACATGGCGCCCCTGCATGGCCTCGGTTTCCGTGCTCATGCACGGCCGCTCGACGTCCTGGCCCGGTCGCCTCTGGCTTCTGGGCTGCCTTCGCCATCGTCGCGCCCTGCAACCCCGCCGACTGGGCCGGCCTCCTCGGTCCCCGTCTCGCCCAGGGCGTCGGGGCAGTCATCACCAGGGCTGGCCTCGCCTGCTCTCGCCTCGCCAAGGCCGTCTGGGCCGGTGTCACCGGAGCTGGCCTCGCCCACCCTCGGTTCGCCCATGGCCTCTGAGCCCCTGTCGTCGGGCCAGTCTTCGCCATGCAGCCCGGAGTCGTCTGTCCCGAGCTCGCTTGAGGTGATTCCTGCATCTCCGGCGACCGTCACGTCTCCGTCACCTTCGCCTCCGCCGGCTCCTGTTGCTGCTCTACGTCCACATACGCGCAGTCGGAGTGGCATTTTTCAGCCTAAGCAACGTCACGATGGCACAGTTGCTTGGTTAGCGGCGTGCATGTCTGCTGCTCTCGCAGATCCATCCTCTGAGCCACGCACGTATCAAGCTGCTATGCGCATTCCTCATTGGAGAGAGGCCATGGAGCAGGAGTATCAAGCGCTTCTTCGCAATCAGACATGGACTCTTGTTCCTCCACAATCACGGGTAAATGTCATTGATTCCAAATGGGTTTTCAAAGTGAAGAGGCATTCTGATGGGTCCATTGAGCGCTATAAGGCTCGTCTAGTTGCTCGTGGATTTCGACAGCGTTTTGGACTTGACTATGAAGACACCTTCAGTCCAGTGGTCAAGCCTACTACCATCAGACTTCTTCTCTCTCTGGCTGTTACTCGAGGTTGATTTCTTCGTCAGCTTGATGTTCAAAATGCTTTTCTTCATGGTGTCTTGGCGGAGGAGGTTTACATGCGCCAGCCTCCGAGTTTCTCTGATCCGGATCGCACTGATCATCTCTGTCGTCTGTCCAAGGCAATTTATGGTCTGAAGCAGGCTCCTCGTGCTTGGCATGCTCGTCTTGCAATGGCTCTTCGTGCTCATGGTTTTGCATCATCAACTGCTGACTCCTCATTGTTTCTTCTTCAAAGGCCTGAGATTACTATGTACTTGTTGGTCTATGTAGATGATATCATTTTGGTCAGTTCCTCTCAGTCGGCCGCTACTGCGCTTGTTCGCTCACTTGGTGCTGATTTTGCGGTCAAGAACCTTGGGAAGCTTCATTACTTTCTTGGTGTGGAGGTTACTTCTCGTGCTGCTGGCCTTGTTATGACGCAGAAGAAGTACTCTCTGGATTTGTTGCAGCGAGCTGGGATGCTTAAGTGCAAACCGACGACTACACCCATGTCTACCACTGATAAGCTCAATGCTGTTGATGGTGTGCTTCTTTCTTCTTCTGATGCGACCGAGTACCGGAGTATTGTTGGTGGGCTCCAGTACTTGACGATCACGCGACCAGACATTTCCTATGCTGTTAACCGAGTCTGCCAGTATCTGCAGTCACCCCGTGACACTCATTGGTCTGCTGTTAAGCGGATTTTGCGCTATATTCGTTTCACGGTGGCTCATGGTTTGCATATTCGGCCGTCTGACTCTGGTTGTCTTTCAGCATATTCTGATGCAGACTGGGCTGGCAATCCGGATGACAAGCGATCCACGGGGGGTTATGCTGTCTTCTTTGGCTCTAACCTGATTGCCTGGAGTGCTCGGAAACAGGCTACTGTCTCGCGTAGCAATACTGAGGCTGAGTATAAGGCTGTGGCCAATGCCACATCAGAGATTATCTGGGTACAGTCCTTGCTTCAGGAGTTAAGTATACCCCAATCACAGCCTCCTGTTCTTTGGTGTGATAACATCGGTGCTACATACCTTTCTGCAAATCCGGTATTCCATGCCCGAACGAAACACATTGAAGTTGACTATCACTTTGTGCGTGAACGTGTCTCTCAGAAGCAACTACAGATCAAGTTTATTTCTTCCAAGGATCAACTTGCTGACATCTTCACCAAGCCATTGCCTTTGCCACAGTTTGAGACTTGCTGGCGCAATCTTACCCTTCTAGATTCATTAGAAAGTGGCTAAGATTGAGGGAGAGTGTTAGATTGTATTTACATGTGTATATTGTGACGTTGTATATCACCTCATTATATATATATGTGATAGGCCACCCCTAGAGGGTTGTGCCGGTTCCCCCCAAAGCCTATTGTCTTACAGCATGCAAGGTGGCCTACCAGCCGGCTGGCTAGTTGCCGGCGAGGGCGACCTCCCCAGCAACGAACGCCCTGAGGTTCCTCTCGGACGAGCCGCCCACGGCTGCCGCCCCCCGTGCCTTTCCCTTCCACAGCTCCGCCATGGCGCGCACAACATCCGATGTGACGAAGCTGATGCACCTCCGCAGCTCGCCAGCCTCTAGCACGCCGTCCTTGTCGCTGATCACGGCAGCCCTTACCCCGGTGCCGAGCTGCCGCTCCACGAGCCACGCGTTGGTGCCCTGGTCCGTCCATTGCGGCACTCCGACGACCGGCGCGCCGCACGCAACGCTCTCCAGCGTCGAGTTCCATCCGCAGTGCGTCACGAAGCACCCCACGCCGGGTGCGACAGCACCTTTGCCTGGTCGCACCACTCCCACCACCATGCCACCGCCGGCGCATAGCTTCAGCTCGTCGCCGTCGACCTCGCTGCGGTTGTCCTTTATCAGCACCCACAAGAACTGTCGGCCGCTCTCCGCCATGCCGCGCGCCACCTCAGTGATTTGCCGCTTGCTCATCGTGGACGAGCTCCCGAAGGAGATGTACACCACCGACCCCGCTGCCTGCGCGTCCAGCCACTCCAGGTACCCCTTGCCGTCCATCTTGAACAGGTTGTTGTTGTTGTTGTTGTTGCTGCTGGCCGACGCCGTCGAGGCGTCCAGGAAGGAGAGCACGGGGCCGATGGGGACGACGTGGATGCCGCTCTGGCTCAGCGTCACCACCGCGTCGGGCTCCATGGCGTGGAACGTGTTGGCGAGCACGGTGGGCGTGTCCTCGCGGCCCAGCACGTCGAGCACCTCGCGCATGTCGGGTAGCATGAAGGCGTAGGGGTGGTGGTCGTCGCCGGCGGTGGTGAAGGAGGACGGCAGGTCACGCACGCGCATCGGCGGGAGCCCTCGGACGCGAGTGTCCGCCCACGGGTTGCTCGCCGCCGCGGCGACGGCCTGGTCGAGACTGTCGGTGCCGCGCGAGAGGTGGAAGTAGGCGGCGAGCACGGCGGCCTGCTGGATCCAGTAGAGCACCGCGGGCACGCCGTGCGCGCGCGCGACGTCGGCGGCCCAGGAGACGACCTGCGTGTACACAAGCTGCGTGACGGGGGTGTCGGCATCGCGGAGGCGCGCGAGCACGCTGTCCAGCGTGCGGGGACCCACAGCCTTGAGGCTCAACATGTAGTCCGTGATGTCCCCGTCGAAGCCGGCATCGAAGCCGTCGGAGAAGGGCACGTAGAGGACGCCGGCGCCGTCGACATGGTCCACCGCCGCCGCGTCCGCGTGGTCCGAGAACATCTTGCGGCAGGCGGAGACGGCGGTGGAGACGGTGACACGGGCGCCCGGCGCGGTGCGGAGCAGGCGCAGCGGGAGGTGCCGCGCCGGGTTGATGTGGCCCTACGCCGGGTACGTCACCACGAGAAAGTGCGGCGCCGATGACGCGCGCTCCACAACGGGCGCCATTGCTGCGTGCGTGGGATGTGGAAGTGGAATGTGGAGCTAGCTGGGTTAGGTTGATGTCCGTGTCCCTTTGCTGGGTTAGGTTGCGGCGAGTGAGCGATGTATTACGGCATGGCCGAGATATCTTGCAAGAAAATAAATCATCATATTTAGACCATCGGATCTATCCAGTGATTCAAATATTACTTATTTCGTCCCATAGCAACGTACATGTATTTAGCTAGTACTAGCAAAAAGAGCCCGTGCGATTGCAACGGGAGAGACAAAAAGACACGCCTCTATCACAATAACCATGACTCGAACCCTCGATAGGTCCACATCCTTTATTTCAACATGGCATCTTGTCAGTCTTGACGTTTATCCTTCTTTCCACTCTCGCGGATCGACATGCATGGTTATAGATGTTTTTTTCCGTCTCCGATTTGTTTTTCTAAGGTGTTCGTTTTCAATTTGAATCGGCAACGGCACAAAAGAAACATGGATCGTCCACTACTAAGTAAGTTGCATCCTAAATAGAATTTTTTAATTATTAACATGTGAAACAACATCATATTCAGATTCTACATATTTTTCTAATCAATTTTCATATATAACATGTTAAAAATCCGAGTTAGGTTTAAAAGATAAGAATATTTTTTAAAGAGTTTGAATTTACTCTAATCAGCCTTTAAAAATGGTTAACGGGTAAAAATGACATCATATTCATATTCTACACATTTTTCTAATCAATTTTCATATATAACATGTTAAAACTGGAGTTACGGTTTAAAATATATGAATATTTTAAAAAACATTTAAATCTATAAAAAAACGTTATTTTGTAGACGTACGGCAGGTTAATTGACCAAAATATCAGTGGGTTTTCTAAAAAAAGGTGAAAGGTTTTCTATTGTCACTTAAAATAGGACCACAGTTGATTAACCGAAACCTCTGGGAGTTTTCTACAAAAAGTGAAACGTTTAAGTTAAGACTGTGGGTTGATTTCTCAGAAACAGGGATTTTTCTGTAAAATGTGGGACGACGGACCACAAAAAGCAGTCGATGCTTTGTTATCAGGTAAAGAAATATAGCAGCTAACTAGTTTACGCACAGGTGTTTAGCTAATATATGTAGCAGACTAGTTTTTTTTTCTGGAAAAAAACTAGTCTACTACAAGTACTAGTCGGTAACTCTTCTCGAATACGAACCGTACACTTCCCCACTTCGTGGTTAACTTAAATAATCACCATTCTGAACCTGATATCCTCACTTTACAGCTTGAACCCTGATCTTTTCCTGCATTTTCATTAATTTAAGTCACTTCAATGATCTGGTTAGAATACCTACAAGGTATGTATTTACTAAATATGTGAGGAACATTACTTAAACACTTAATAAATACGGGATCAACAATTTTCAGACATGCGACAAACATTTTTTTTCAGAAAACATGATTTCAATACGCACTATAACTTTTCAGATAGACAATGGATATTTTGTTAAAATGTGATTATTAAATTTTAATTTGCAAACGATTTCCAAATATGCTATGTAATGGTTTTCCATCTTATACGACTTTTTTTACTTAGAATTAATGAAATATAAAAAGTAAGAGTATTTTCCCAAAAATATTTTAGAGAAATTTAAAAGTAGATAAAAGAAACAAAAGTGAAAATAAAAAACAAAAATGGAAAGAGAAAAAAAGAAAGAAAAATAACGATGGTTGCATGTCTTCCTCCGTGAGAGCAGGGCCCGTGTGCTTGCATATTTGCATTCCTCGCAGGATGGGCCTAGACCATATATATGCCCCTGGAGCTTACTAGAGACCTTGTCGTCGGCGCCTTCAGCGCCTAGTAGGAGTTCATGCGCCTACATGGTTTCTTCATGGGCTGCATTAGGAAGCCCATTCGATGGTGTAACTTGTTTGGTGTTGCTGTTATGTTCGATCTCTGCTTTGTTCGCTATTTGTGTTGTAATGAACTCAATTGCATCGATCCGAATTCCCTGAATTATGGAAAATGGTTGTGCATTATTGTTTGTTCTTTTTTTCGCCGTTCGAACGAGGTTGTGCACCGCTTTATGTTTTTCTCTTATCTTTTCTCAATGATTTAATACTTTTTATTTTTATTGAAAAATAATTCAAGAGGAAAGATAGTAAAAAGAAGATAAAAATGATTGAAGAACAGAACAATAATCAGGTATTGCTTGGTTCAGAGATAATTTGTAGAAAAAGGAGAAAAAATATGTAGTGTTGAATTCTTGTTTGTCATAAAATCTGAAGAAACATTTTTCAATATCGAAGCCAATGACGAAATGAAAAAAGGATAAAATACATTCAGAAGTCTTGTTGTAATAATATATTAAACAGAACGAGAGAAACTACTACTCCGATCACAATGTGAGTGAACGTTGAATGTGAGTGGACTAAATTTGAGTAAGGTGAAGTAGACTTTTAAAAATAGTAAACTAAATATGGATTTGAGTGAACTTGGAAAGAGAATAAAGTAAATATGAATAAGGTGAACTAAATTTGAAAAAGTGAACTAAATTGAATTAGTGAACTAAATTTGAATTAGCGAATTAAATAAGAAATAAAATGAACTAAATTTGAGAAAAAGTGAGTTTAATTTGAAATTTGGTGTACTATATTTGAAGTTAGTGAACTAAATATGAAAAAGAAAGTGAACTAAATTAGAACGAGGGTGAACATAATGTGAATAAGTAAACTAAATTTGAAAAACTAGCTAAATTTGAATAAAGTGAACTAAGATTGGAATAACTGAATTAAATTATAATAGGTGAAACAAAATTTGAACTGAGAGTGAATAAATTGGAATTTGAGTGAACTAATTTTGGAAAAGAGAGTGAACTAAAGTTGAACTAGAGAAACTATATATGAATAAGACGAACTAATCTTGAATAACTAAATTAAATTTAAAAACTTAACTAAATTTGAAACTGAATGAAATAATTTGAATGTCAGTGAACTAACTTTTTGAAAAGAGAGTGTACTAAAGTAATTAAGTGAACTAAATTTGAATAAGACGAACTAAAATCGAATAAGAGTGAACTATATTTGAGATTAGTGAACTAAATTTGAAAAGGAGGGTGAACTGAATTTGAAAAATAAGTGATCTAAGTTTGAATGGGAGTGAACTAAAACTGAAAAGTGAGTGCGCTAAATGTGAATAAGTGAACTAAATTTGAACGAATTAACTAGATTTGAATAAAGCAAACTAAATTTCAAAAGGTGAATTAGTCTAAATAAATGAACAAAATATGAAAAGAGAGTGAACTAAATCTAGTGAACTAATCTTGAAAAAGAGAGCGAACTAAACATTAATTTGAGTGAACTAATTTTGAAAGAGAGAGTGAACTAAATTTGAACAAATGAACTAGATTTGAACAAAGCAAATTATATTTCAATAAGTGAATTAAATTTAAATAGGTGAATACAATTTGAAAAGAGAGTGAGCTAAACCTAGTGAACTAATTTTGAAAAAGGGAGTGACTAAATATGAAAAAGAGAGTGAACTAAATTTGAATTTGAGTGAACTAATTTTGAGAAATAGAGTGAACTAAAATTGAATTTGAGTGAACTAAAATTTTAACAAGGGAACTAGATTTGAATACATGAGTTAAATCTGAATATCTGGACTAAATCTAAAAAAAGGGTGCACTAAGTTTGAATTTGAATGAACTAATTTGGAAAAAGGCAAATAACAAATTTTGAAAAGGGAGTGATTTAAAATTCGAAGAAGTGAACTATGTTTGAAGAGGTGAACTAAATTCAATAAGTGAATTGAATTTTGAAAATGGAACTAAATTTGAAACTGAGTGAAATACATTTGAATTTAGTGCACTAAATTAAATTTGAATTTAGTGAACTAAATTTGAGTGATAGAATTTTTAAAAAGAGAGTAAACTAAATTTGAACAAGGTGAATTAATTTAGCATAAGAGTGAAATAAATTTGAACAAGCGAGCTAAAGTTGAATAAGGTGATTTAATTTTAATATGAATTAATTAAATTTGAATGTAATCTACCTAAAAATTGAATAAGTAGATTTACATTTGAGTGAAAATAGAAGTGAGCTAGTTTTAAAAGAAATGATCTAAATTTGAATTTGAGGAACCAAAATTTAATAAGGTGAACTAATTTTGAATTCGAGTGAAGTAATCATATAGCAAAAAGAGAGTAACGAAATTAGAATTTAGTGAACTAGACTTTAATGGGGTGAACTAAATTTGAATAGAAGAACTAAATTTCAACAAGTGACCTACCGCCCTCCCGTCGATGGAGAGGCGGAGGTCCTCCTCCTTGGAAAACATGTGGAACGCCCTCGCCCCCGGAGTTTGCATGTCCTTCCTGTAAATGAACAAGGAGATGATCTCCTACACCCGCTCCATCTTTAGCTTGTCCTGCTCACGATCTTGAGCATCCTGGCTTCGAGTTGCAGCTTCCGATGCACTATCAAACCCTAGAAGCGCTCTCGATTTAGGGCAGGGGAGGGGGAATTCGAGCCATCAAGGAGCAAGGGGGTGGCAAATGAAGCCTGGATCACACAACCCGCATTAATACCTCGCCGGCCATGGCTCTCTTCCTCGAACCTCTGACGTGTCGTACCACCCCTACAACCGCACAACCAGCGCAACGTGAGAGGGAAAAAATATGTACACTATCTCCTACTATCTCACCTTCTCGCTCCGCCTGATCGTGGACACGGATGCCCCGGCCGTCGAGGAGCACCAATTGTCGTGTTCTAGTCCAACGGACTAGGGTGCCTCACCGGTAAACACGCATTGCCAACGTGCAGATGTCGGAGACCAAGTGTACTGCCCACCACTGATCGCGTGGAG